GAGGGACATCAACCGCTACTCAGGGAGGTGAGGTTTCTGGACATGGAAGAGGTGGGAGGGGAAGAGGAGGGAGGGGAAGAGGAGCATCAAATGCTAGTGAAGTTTACTGTGAGGTGCCTGCACAGGGAAGAGGGGGGAGGGGAAGAGGAAGTGGTAGTGAAATTCACTCTGAAGTTTCTGGACATGGAAGAGTTGAAAGGGAAAGAAGGGGAGGGGAAGAAGGGGAGGGGAAGAAGGGGAGGGGAAGAAGGGGAGTGATAGGGGGAGAGCACATAGGGCAAGAACACAAAGGGGATTTAGGGTATATTTTGATGCCAGTACGGGTGAAACATTGTTAGATGTATGTTTATGTTACTATATGTCTTCAATTTTATGTGTTATGTTACTATAAATCAGGATTCATATGCAAATTTTACCTCTTTGCAGCCTGGACGAGCAAGTGAAAGAGTTGTTAGTGGAGGGAGTCCATGAAGTGTTTAAGATGAAGTGAAGTGTTGAAGATTTCTTGTGGATGCTTTAAGAGTTTAGTCTGTTTTGTTAATATTTTATGTTGGCCTATGAACTGTGGTTATTCACGTAGATGGGTGGGGCATGTGTTGTCCTTTTTTTTCTTTAAAGTGGGTTGTTGTGCCCTTTAAAGTTGGCTTTAAACTTCCCTGTAAGCTGTTTTGTTGTATGTTAGATGTCATGTCAGAATCAATGTGTTGTCCAGTCTTTACAGTGGCCTTAATTTGAATCTAGACATCATGTGTTTTGTTTGGATTTTGTTGATGGATCGTCGGACCAGGGGTGGCCGAAATCCACCGAGAATGAGAGTAGGAAGAAGAGCGAACTGATCGGAAAGTACAGATCGAAAAGGCTTCTATATAACAGTCTCAAGAGTGCAATGGATTAAGCATCCCTTTCCACAAGTTGAAAGGTGATATTTATACTAAGGAAAAAGGGGAAAATACTTGGAGGCCAAGCCAAAGATGCTAGTCTAATAGGAGAAGGACACGTGTAAAGTTATTCCAACAAACTAACAGCCTATTTTGATGAGAAGCAGCCACGTGTAAAGTTGATTGGAGAGAGAGATCCTTTGATAGCTGGCTGATTGATTATTCTTCTAACAAAATTCCTGTCAGAATTCCCGTGTGGCCGCACGTGGACAATCTGGAATATTCCTTTGGCGCAGGGGGTGACGTGGTGGTGTCTTCTTACGAGATAGAATCTTTGCGGGTTCTATCTAAGTACACGGCTCTTTATTCTGACCTCGGGGACCACTGAGGTCGATATCTGAGAGCTCGGGCTCGTGTTGAGAGGATCCGCCCTTTTGCCCTTTCGTCCCTGTTCTGGTAATAGTTGACCGCCCGATGTTTGACCATCGTTGACCAAATGCTTGACTTTCTGGGCTTGACTTGGTGCCGACCTCGGGTGCCTCGAGGTCGGGCTCATAACTTGTCGAGTCAAGTCGATTCCTGAGCTCGATGTTCTCCCGACCTCGGGGTCGGGGTCAGGGTATGCTGACTTCATTATCCACCGGATTCAGCTGATTTCTGAGCCTGGTGTTTTCCCGACCTCGGCGGTCGGGGTCAGTCTCGGACTATGGACTTGGTGCTTTTGCGCCTCTGATGGAGCCGCGGTGCTTTCTACCGCCGATTATGATACCCCTGGGGTGTATGGGAATGTACTCCATCAGTTGTATTGTTGTTATGTATTCAAACCTTTCTGGATGTTAACTTTGTTATTAATTGTGGTTATGATGTTACATTTTCTGGTGTATTAAACTTTGTTGTTGATTGAGTTAATGATGTTACATTTTGTGGTGTATTAAACTTTGTTGTTAATTGTTGTACACAGACTGTTATGTTGTGGTTTATTACCATTTTTCTGGTGTATTACACTTTTCTTGGGTTACCATTACCATCCAAAAAACAGCAGCATGTTAAAGTGTTCTGATACAAACTATGTATTGAGTAATAACAGAAGCATGTGAAAGTTTTTGTATTGAGTAATAACAATAGTACATGATAAACCCAAGCTGAAACCTCCCAATCATTCTCTCCGGATTGCAACCTGGAGCAAACCCCCGAATGACTCCATAAAAATCAACATAGCCTTTGGTACCACAAGGGCTGGTGACACTATCTCTGGTTTGATTACTAGGGACCACATAGGACAAATGCTTCACTACAAATTTAATACCCATAGCCACAATGATTGCAACTTCAATATTTGTGATACTTTGATCAAGCTGCGGTACTGGATTCGAGAGAGGAATTACACTAATATCATTATTGAATTTGATAATTTACAGGTAATACAAATCCTACAAGGAAGCAACAGGCCAACATGGAAAGCGATTGCAATTCTCAACGAGTATAAAGAGATGTATCAAGATGACAAGTTATGCTACTCTCACATTATGAAAGCTTTTAATAAGTCTGCTCACTATGTTGCGGTTAATGCTGTTATGTTTGCTAATAGCCCGAACACTTATAGCAAGCTCATAGGCATTCTCAAATTTGATGCTATTAGTTACCCGTACGTTATCTAAAGCGGTAGGTTTGGTGTCAAGTCCCCCTACCATGTATCTCTCTTTGCTATCTAATAAATTGATAATTTGGTTATAAAAAAAAGTACATGACATTACACAACACATGTGAACCCTTTCAATACATCAAGTATTACTCCAACTTTATTATGGAATGGTTGTACCAACATGTACTACATGTTAACCCTTTCAATACATCATGGCCAGCTCGGGTCCTACAATTACAAAGTAGTCAACTTCCAATAAACCATCCCCTGTAAACCAACTACAACAACCAAACTAAACCCAACCAACTTTCTAAAGACTCTGGTGTCCTTTGCTTGTGTTTGAACTACCTTCCCAACACCATAAATGCACTTGGACTTGTATAGCACTTAGTTGTTTAACAACTCTGTTTTCAAGTCTTGATACCATAGCTTTCAATTCATCTCTATTTTCATTCGTCCCAGCTTGGTTATTTACCCCTGTTGTTTCCATAGCATCCACCCAAGCAAAATATCTGCACCCAAAATTATGTACCTGTTAAATGTTAACAAGAGTTTTCATAACTACACGACCATCTTATACACCTAAACGAAGCTAATTTAAGAATTACCTTCCATTTTTTGACACCCATAGAACTTACTGCCACGTATACACCCAAACGAAGCCAATTTAAGATTACACCCAGACTCATAATCCAGAGTGGAGTTTCGTCCTCTTCTCCCAGTCAAAGATGATGCAGATGCCATTTACTCTCCGGCGAATAAGAAGATAGCAAGCTCAAGCCTTAGGATCCTTTCTCAATTTGTTCGTACCTCTATCTTCTATGTTAGGCTGAGGAAGAGAGAGATTTAAATGATAATTTCATTATTATCAGATTTTTTTTATCCACGTAAGCAGACACATCAGATGGTAACTGGGGAACTGGCTGGCAACCGCCCAAAATGCCATTTTGACTGAAATTTGAAAGAATGTGGACCTGATTGGTTAAATTTAAAGTAGATGGACTTGATTGACTTTTGGTCTAAAGTAGGTGGACCAATCGGACAGTTTTCCCTTTATTTAATACACACTACACAAAGTTTCATCTGTCACTCTAACTGCCTCATTGAAGTTGTGTTTTTGTTGGATCAAATATTTGATGATTTGATTCTACATTTATGCGAGTTGAGCATGGAAACTTAATGTGGGCCGTTATGACATTTTTATGCATTAATATGACCATTAATATGATTAAGGAGGAAGTTAATTAGGTTGACCAATCTTTGTGACCAGTCATCAAGTTAGATCAAATCATCAGACTGTATGATATTATTATCTACATATTGGATAGTGGAGACCAGAGAGTGTGTGCATGCATTAGTACGGACAATAGTGGGCTCCAAAACCTCATGCTCAATTACAATGGGCTCCAAAACATTTACACTAATTTGGATAATATTATTGGATATCAGACTCAAATACAGCTTGAGGAATAAGATCTCTATTATTGTGGTCATTTTTATTGAGGCCTACAAGGTGTTCCTCCTCAAGAGGTCACCACTGGATTACCAAGCACAACTGAATGAATTTCATCATTGGACTTTAAAGTTGGATCAGTTTCACCACTGGATACATTTTTAGGAATATCTTTTTGGATGGGGAGGCTTGTTTGAAAGAGGTTGAAAGTCCCTAGTTTGCAGATTTTGATATTATGTCCAAAGGTCTTACATTCATTGCAAAATAAGAGAACCTCCTCATAGTTGATCAATTGAAAAAATGAGTAGAGCCATTGCCAATCCAAATTTTGGATGATTGGTTAACAGATATGTGGACCTCAATGCATATCCTTTTCGTGGATGGGCCGGGTTAACCTTAGGGTGGATACATCAAGTTCAGCAAAGTTTCTCATCATATCAGCAATCAGAAAAGAGCAGTTTTTTCAAATAAATGGATGAGAGACTGGGGGCATGAAATCAATGTTGAGCTAGTATCTTGGACAGATCATATGAAGATGGTCAGCCAGTCAGTGTTTCAAGTTGTTATGTTTTCAGGTGGTTGTTTATATGTGGTAGCCAAGCATGATTTGAGTTGATTTTATTTATGATTTTTTCCATCTATTGAATAAAGGCTTTTTTTCATAAAAATCAGTCACAAGTGAATTAATGAATCACTAACAACGTATCTATTATAATAATTTGAATGAAACTATTTATTGAACACTAGCAGGGCTATTGCAATTTTCAAGCGATTGGGATTGCACTAGTAGTAAAGGTACAATTTTCATTCCCAAGAGTAAAATAAAATAAGACCAAAATTATAGTTTTGATTGCATTCACTATTATAGACATTAGAATTTTGTCTGGTTTGGGAATATTGATGTAGATAATAGAGATGGTGCTAATTTTTGTGTCAATTACTCACATATTTAGCATATACATCTTCACTTCTTCTTAATGTGTGAGGGTCTAAAACAGAACTCCATATCAATTATCTCCATTCAAATCCCCAGACCAAACAATCTTTTAAACAAGTAATTACTTATCGTACAAGAGTCATCAGACTAGCAAAACTTTCGGTTCCAAGTTTGGAGAAGCGCGTGGAATGGTTGAAATGAAACAAGGGAGCGACATAAAATATAGTAAAGGCCATTCATAGCCAAATTAAATTATTAAAACATATCTACTTTCATACATAATGTAATCGTGCGAGTTTCTTCCGTTGAAAGAGCCACCAGACATTTTCTAAGGGTCGTCGGAGCAAAAGATGGACTCCCAACACATTTTGATTACATTGTAAATGCTTGAACACCTGCAATTCGAATCAAAACATATTAATCAGATCCACAACCTATGATAAGAGTTAGTTTTTACTACGATTAAACCCCTTTGGTTACCTGTTTTCAGCTTATCAAACATGTAACTTTTGATCTTACGCGCTGAATTATGTAATACTCAAAATATGTAAGGATGAAATTATTTTTCTTAAATCTATCTATAAAATATACTTTAAATATTTTTTTCACAATTTAGTAGATTTAGTCAAATCAGTGACTTCAGTTAGAATTTTCATCAATTTCACCAAATTCAACCGATTAAGCCGATTTCTTTGATATTGGTGTAATTTTGTACAAATAAAGAAATGTTGGGCAACCATTTCAAAAAATGGTCATTTTGACAAAATTCTATTGCTTACCGTAGTCTTTAAGCTAGTAGGCGCAGTGGATTTCGACAAACACGACTCTTTAAGAAAAGCAAAAAACTCAGTTTACAGTAGTCGAATAGCCTTTACCAAACGGATTTGTATTATTCTGTGTATTCTGATAAGTTAAATAAGCTACTGACCAGACATATAAGATCAACAAAACGAAAGAAAAGAAATGGGGGTATTTTGTCACTGCACATTTTCTTTAAACAATGAAAGAAAAGAAATGGGGGGTATTTTACCCCTTATCGATGACTTCGTCTTGATCATCATCTACTTCTGGAGTGGAGTTTTCTGTAGTCACCTTCTGGAGAGTTGGAGGAGCATCCATCATCACTCTCAAAATCGCAGGTTTTATTTATGCATCAATTGAAGCAAAATGGGGGGATTTGGTTGATCATTCCAATGCAAGGAGGGGTTTTATTTAGTACCGATTAATGTTAATATATTGGGGTAGGCAGAGTGGCATTCACGGGGTTGAAAGTTTTGAACAAAAGCAAACAGTACCCATAATTTATGCCCTTAATTCAGTTAATTGTATGAAGAAAGCGAGAAGATGAAGTTCGTTACAGAAGATAAAGTTTGTTTATTCCAAATGAAAGATTCTACGCAAAATCAGTCTTACTCACTGGGATTTACAATACTTTGTCTATTTATAGTAAGTAGAATATATTTAGAAACTACTACAATTCTTCTATTGACAGCTCATCATTTTTATTGCTTAATACCCCCCCATAAGCTGGAGTGTAGATGTCTCGGAATCCCAGCTTAGACTGAAATAATAAGAATTGAGGTGTTGATAAAGATTTTGTAAATCCATCTGCCACTTGATGTGCTGAAGGAACATATAATAATTTGATCACTCCTTTTTGAACCTTTTCCCGTATAATGTGACAATCTATCTCAATGTGTTTTGTTCTTTCATGAAAGACGGGATTTTCAGCAATGGCAATGGCTGATTGGTTATCACAAAATACCACTGCTGCTTTTGTTTCGTGTATTCCAAGATCCTGGTAAAGATATTTAAGCCATTGAATCTCACATGTCACAGCAGCTAATGCCCTATACTCAGCTTCCGAAGAAGAACGAGCAATTGTAGTCTGTTTCTTGGATTTCCAAGATATTAAGGCTTTGTCCAAGAACACACAATATCCTGTGATAGATTTTCTAGTCTCCAAGCAACCACCCCAATCAGAATCTGCAAAAGCTTGAGTATTATAGTTAGATTTTGCAGGGAAGTGAAGTCCTTTACCAGGTGCTCCCTTAAGAAATCTTAACACCCTTTGAGCTGCCATCAAGTGTAAAGAAGAAGGCTTGTCCACGAACTGACTTAGTTGCTGAACTGCAAAGGCAATGTCTGGTCGAGTAGCACTTAGATACAACAAACGACCAACTAACCTTCTGTAGGCACCAACATCATTCAGCACATTATCAGTAGTTTGAACAAGCCGTGTGCCTGCAACTATGGGAGATTTAGCTGGTTTACAATCAAGATATCCCATCTCTTGCAAAATGTCCAAAGTATATTTCCTTTGACAAAGATTGATTCCATGAGTACTCCTTGCAACTTCCAGTCCCAAAAAGAATTTAAGTTGACCCAAATCCTTGATTTTGAATGTAGTATGTAAGAAATCTTTAATATCTTGTATAGCAATCAAATCAGTACTAGCAGCAATTATATCATCTACATACACCAATAGAGCAATAAAGCAATTATCAGTCTTCCTGATAAAAAGAGAGGGATCTGCTGTACTTTGAAGAAAACCTTTATCAAGAAGAGCACTGGTGAGTTTAGCATTCCATTGCCTACTAGCCTGCTTTAAACCATAAAGTGATCTCAAAAGCTTGCAAACAATTTGAGAATCCTTACTCTGAAATCCTGGTGGAAGAGTCATATATACTTCCTCATTAAGATCGCCATGTAAGAAGGCATTGTTGATGTCCATTTGATGTAAATGCCAATTTTTGGCTGCTGCAACTGCCAAGAGTGTTCTGATGGTGGTAATTCGAGCAACTGGTGAAAACGTTTCAGTATAATCTACTCCAGGCTGCTGGGTATACCCTTTTGCTACCAATCTAGCTTTATACCTCTCTATTGATCCATCGGACTTGTACTTAACTTTGTATATCCATTTGCATCCAATTGCCTTCTTTCCGGGTGGTAAAGATGTGAGAATCCATGTTTTGTTCTCCTCTAATGCACAAATTTCTGCTTGCATGGCATTTTTCCATTCAACATGTTGTATAGCTTCATTGTAACTACGTGGTTCCTTAGAAGCTGAAATAGAGGCAACAAAGATTCTCTGAGAACTTGATACACCTTTATATGAAATAAAGGAAGAAATAGAATAAGGAGTGGTGTGTCGTAGTTTATTTTTGCTGCAATCATAGTCCTTCAACTTGACAGGAACATGTCGAATTCTCGATGACCTTCTAAGTGGCTCAGCAACAGTTACAGATGGCTCAGCAACAGTTACAGATTGCTCAGCATCATGTTGTAAATGTCCTGAAGTATCTTCAAGTACATGATGATCACATGAAGGATTAGAAGTACCTGTGTGTTCCTCTGAGTATTCCATGCAATCATTATAATCAAGAACTGGTAGAGATAGATCAGTCTCATGTGTGGTCTGTGATTTGATGTTCTGAAAAGGAAATATAGTTTCATAGAAGTCAACATCTCTAGAAACTAAAAATCCTCCAGAATTCATATCATACAGTCGATACCCTTTGTGGCTTCCTGTATAACCAACAAAAATGCATTTCTTTGCCCTTGAACTCAGCTTGTGCCTGCTGCTAGGTAAAGTAGATGCATAACACAAACAACCAAAAACTTTGAGGTTATCAAGGTTAGGAATCACTTTATGCAATACTTGAAAAGGAATCTGGTTGGAAATAGCTAAGCTTGGCACTCTATTCATAAGATACACAGCATGTGTAACACATTCACCCCAAAATTTAAGAGGCAAGTGCGCTTGAAATCTTAGAGCTCTAGCAATGTTAAGAATAGTTTGATGTTTCCTCTCCACCCGGCTGTTTTGTTCGGGCCTTTCAACACAAGAAAGCTGATGAACAATACCTTTCTCTTGATAAAAGTTGTCTGCCTTGAATTTCCTGCAGGTTTCAAACTTGTATGTTGACCTATAGCGTCTAGATTCTATATACTATGCTTCCCAGGGGTGTTTGTGGGTTCTGATTTAAGTCAATTCGGTTTTCAAAAAGGTGAACTTGAGTCAATTTCTGGTTCAGTAAATTTTAACTTTGTCCGTTCAGGTGCATGCTTAGGAGTTAGGCCGGCTGTGAAACGATTGGTTTGAACCTTCCATGGTTTGATCATCTTGATTGGTGAAACGGTTTCATTTGATTTAATTTTGTGACTCACAATCAGTTGCAAACTTAGGATGTTATTACTTTGACAAATTTCAATAATCAATTCAGACTAGACCTAGACTTAAACTGATTGGACTAGATCAAACCACACTTAATCAATAATACATACATTTACAATACAATACATTCACCAGAACAAACTAAATCAAACCCAGATCAAAACAGATAATTCTAAGTCCAAGTAAGGCATCCTTACAATGAGTTTTATGCAAGTCTATTTACAAATTGCAATCAGTTTTCTTGTTCGACCCTAATACTTCCCCAGGGTGACTACATTGTCTCTGCTATGTTACCCTGCACTCCCTCAACCAAATTCATCTATGATCCATTCGCTTCAACTAGGCTGTGATTGGGTGTTGGGTCCCAATCTACACCATTGTATGGCCATATGGCAATTCATTTCAGAAACACAAAATAAAAAGTATTGCGAACAAAGTTTCATTATAGTCAAGAAGGTTGCCATGCATTAGTCTAAAAAACACAAAACTTTAGATTTCGTTTGGAGAATTATAGTCTCCTTATACCTACTAGTACTCCATCAGGATATATCTAAGGCACAGTTTCGGACTTATCAACATAAGTGGCCCGAATGTTACATACAGGCATCTCAGGATACGTGCTCAGAAGTTCCAAATCAGGGTCGATGCTGATGTCATGTATCAGCACTTTGTCCCCAATGTCAAGATTGCTCACATCCACCTCAATCTTTTGAGGGATTTTCTCTGCCGGACATAAAAACCGCAGACTACTTCTTCCCTTGTTTAGATGACCTCCTGTAGTTGGCCAAAATGAAAATACAAAACATATGGAGTAAATAAGAAATTATGGAGTAGCAAAAGATGCACGCAGCATATAAACCTCATCTTTTCAGCACTTCAAAGTCGAGCATACAGTAGCAAATAAGATATTATGGAGTAAAAACATACTACATGCGTCACAAAAAAAAAGAATCATGTTCAATCATACTTTTCAATTATTTGTGGTTTAAATAAATTTTATCATACATAAATTATATGCAACTTTTCCGTCATTTGCAATGCAGCCAAAGACTCACTATTTTTTTACATGGGAATATAATGAAATAAAGCAAAATGACTCATTAAACTGGTTGTGCTCTTCTTTGCTATGAAGTAACAGTCAGCCCATGCATTTTTCATCCTAGTCATCATCATTACCCCAGTGCCGCAAAGGCTCCCACCTACAGTGGGATAAGGGGGGTCAAATGTATGCAGTCTTACCCCTGTACTAAAGCACAGAGACGTGTTTCTGGATGATCCATGGTGAAAATTGCATCGAAAATTACATTGATTAATTGTTGCTTCACAACAAAGCAGAGCAGACAGTTTAGTGAGTCATTTTGCATTATTCCATCATAATCCCAAGCCAAGAAATGGTGAATTTGGCTCCATTGCAAATGATTGAAAAACACGCTCTATTTTTGGAGCCTGTTTTTTTAAACACAGCTGTTTTTAGAACAAAGAGAGCACTTGGAAACCCTCCCGAACCCCCCCCCCCCCCTTCAAAACCGACACTTTGGACCTAGTATTGATCATGAGGAGTGATGATGGTTGTTCTATGATGAGATGCTCCCACTATATCTGTAGACATTATCAATATAACTTTGTATTTAGGAATGTATGAATCTCTAACTTGATAATCCATTTTACAAAACCAAAATTGAAACACCAAAAACACATAAAATTGATCTCAACTCTCCCCTCAAAAGCTAAATGAAATTGAGACCACAAAGTCCAATTCAGAGTTCAGACTAGTGTTGCTGATTCTTTAGCAGTGCCCCAATTCAGAGTTCAAACTAATTTTTCCGATTCTATAACAGGGGACTATGTGGTTCTTGATGGGGAGATGACTGTCAAGGAAAAGGGTTATAGGGTGGTTGAAAAGTAAAATAAACGCATATCGACTAGAAAGCTCAGACTTGGAGGAAATGTTATTTTAATCCACCACTTTTATGTTTTTTAAAATTACACATTAATAGATTGGATCAGAGGTGGGGAGGAGAGGACGACCCAAATAGGCGTGGATTAGGGTGGTCAGGAATGATATGATACTTTTTGGTTTAGAGGAGGGTATGCCTTTGGAGAAAACAAAATGGAGGATTGATCTGTATTTGTTTCTCTATTTATCTTTTTAACTCCAATTTCATATGTCAATTCATGTTAGCTGATCTCAAACTCTTTTGAGATAAAAACTTGGATGTTATTGTACACTTGTACACAACAATATAGTGGTAGCATAGTTGTCATGGCGCATGACATCATCATGGCTCAAATGCAATTTTCATGGCGCATGGTGATGGCGCATACATGAATGGCACATGGCAATGGCGCATATATGAATGGTGCATATGGCGCATATGTCACTATTGCGACGACCACTTTTTCATGGTGATGGCGCATATGGCGCGCACCATATCTCACCATTGACTACTATGGTGGTGGCACCTCCTCTACTAGTAATTTATATTACATCTCTATCTTTCTAAAATTTACAAGCATTAGTGATCCATACATCCAGAATGATTTCTACAGCATGCATTGATGCACTTTTCTAAGTTAATCTTTATGAATAGAGAAACAAGTTGCTTCTTTAGGACAATTGAAAAACAACCCCATCAAATTTCACTACTTTTCTAACAAAATGTTGCATTACCTTTTTTTAAGCCCAATATTTAGAAATTTAGAAACAGTTGATGGCATTATGGGACCAATATCATGCTTCATCCGAATAGTTCTCTAACCAGCTAGACATATATTCCACATGTATGTAACTCAAACAATTGATAAAAATGGGGTGTCTACCAATACATGCATTCTAAATGTTGAAATAAAATGTAGTCTAGATAAGTGCTTAGTAACTGTTCAAAATAGAGTATGAACCCACTCATACAGCACACAGAATAATGCTAGATTGCTAGTGATTAGTGAAGTTATGAAGCATTCACCATCATCTTATTGCTACAGTTCGCTAATTCAGCATGCACATTTAGAACATTATAGGTAAAATTAATGCAAAGCAAGGAAATGTTACTAAAGGATATACTCCGTAATAAACAAGACGAACCTTTCTTGACACCAGGGCATGCAACTTCTCCTTTTAAAACTATAGGGATATCCACCTTTAATTTGGATCCATCTTCAGCCCATACGAAAACCAAATTCAATATTTTCCCGGACTCTTTATCTCTGTGGATCTACATTGCGGGAAAATGGATGAAGAAACTCATACAACAGAACAGCTAAATACAATAATTTTTACAAAAGATCATCACTTGCCTTGATGGGAAGCACTTTCCCGGATTCTAGCAAAGATGAGGAGCCCGACCCGGCCCGGATCTGTAACGGAAATGTAGTGGAGCAAAAGAACGGGAGTTGTATGGAATCGAGAATGGTCTTAATCTGCTTTCTCTCAGTTGTAAGGAGGCGTTTCCGGGAAACGGAGGTCGTTTCTGCGATGGATTTCGGATCGTTAGGGTTTGATTGGAAGTAGCTCTGTGAGAAGACGATGGCGGGGATACGGCCCTGCGCTCGGTCCCTTGCGGAAACTCCGCTCCCTGTGACCTCTCTTGGGATGGCCTGAATGGTGAAATATGACCGTCGGCTCGGCACACCCGTCGCGTTTCTTAAGCCGTGGCCGGCAACAGCCACAGAGCGCCACCACTTCGACATGGATTTGCCTTTGGTGATGAAGCTGAACCGGAGACTCTAGTAACAAGGGTTCAGTCCATTTCTACCAGCGTTTTAACTGTTAAGATTTCTCGGCCTTTTTCATTAAAAGGGTTCGCCCATTTCTAAGCAAAAGGGTTAGCCATATTTGTCCACAAGACCATAGCTGCGTTCGTCACATTTTGGATTTGGTGTCCTTTCGGTTTATTTCATTGTCAAGATTTATCATTTTTGTATTATCAATTTTGTAGATTTTTTTTTTAAGATGAGACTAGATTTTTCAGCCGTGGCGAGCGAAAAATATTTGTGAATATATAGAAATTTTGTGATAAAAAGTATTAGGCACTAACTAATGATTTTTCATGTTTCAACCAACTGCCGAGAGCGTTGCGTGATAGAGAGCCAGACCTAGGCGGCCATCCTCAACTCCCTTCAAGATCCGATATTGGAAGATGAAGACATTCTCGGTACAATGAAAGATCGAATCAAAGATTTTTCCATGCTTTCGCTCTTTTTCAATTTCTGTTTTCAAGGAATTTGGTCCGGCTTCTTCATTGGCCGAGAATTTTGTCCGCTTCATGTGAGCGTGTGGTATGTTATTCTCCTAGCAATGTCTAGAGGCTGTGCGTTTCTAATCGGTGTGATCGATCTGGTGAAGCTTTTTCAACCTTGTTGTTCTGATGTTTCAAATACTCGCCCACCACCTGAACCACCGCCTCACTCTGGGAAGAAGAAGACGATCAAGCGGATCTCCTTTTCGGTGGCTGGTCAAACCGATGTTTCAAGAATTTTCTACTCGACTGATTTCCCTTTGTTGGTTGCTGGTCAAACCAATTCTCCCTTTTCCGGTGGCTGGTGAAACCGGATCTTTTAGTTATAATTTTTTAATTTCTCTTTGGAGTAGCAAGAAGATCAGCAAGGCTGTTAGACTAGACTACATTCTCTTGTATTTTTGCTATCGCTTAATAATAAATTAGTTATTTGCGTGGTCATCAATGGTTGGCATAAGAGTTGCCCTGGAGTTCAAATAAGAACTGTCATTTCAGTGCATTTCAAAATGGGGATAGATAATCTTAAAAATGGCTTCAATAGGTTCATCCATCACATGAGCAATAAATTTTTCAGGGATGTCAACCACTGATTCTTCATCGTCAGCATCCCCAAGACCCCATCTCCAATCTTCAAAATACACTCGGCAAAGTTTATAGAAAAAAGTGTACGAATATGAAAAAATATATTGCAAGAAAAGTGTAGGAATATAAAAATATTACAGAAAAATAGTGTATATATATGAAATGCAAGAGTAATCTTTCGGTCAGGTATACGTACTTGACCGGAGCCGCCATCCGGCCACCACGTTTTGAGGGTCTTCCCGGTGGAATTTTTCGATGAACTTTTTTGACTATGTTCTACATCAAGTCTAGTTTATTCATACCAAATTTCAGCTAAAGCTTCAATCGGGAAGACAGTCAAATGATTTTTGGAAGTTAACTGCTTTTATATGTATATAAAGGGCGCAGTTACCTTCCAAAAATCATTTGACTGCCTTCCCGGTTGAATTTTTAGCTAAAACTAGTATTATACCCGTGCGATGCACGGGAAAATATATTTCTCGTATAATAAGTAAACTTTTGAGTAATACAAATTAAACATGAAAATTAATCAATTCCAACGTAAGAATTCAATTGCCGTAATGTAATAATAATACGAATCGTAAATATACATCTAGCAAAAAAAGAAATAGAAGTAATGTTGTTAGACCCGAACCGGCCCGGGAGGGTCGATCCACCTAGCATATATACCGGTTCAGTTATGACCGAACCCGCAAATAACGAAAACCCGCATAGACTTGAAGACCCGCACAAACCCCTTTCAAACCGGGTCATACCGGGTCCGTATTCATATATATGCAGTTCTTGGACAAATCATGTCTTTCAAACAATCTTTTTCAGTAAATATGATTTAAATAATTTATGCATAGTTGCTATAAAAGTGGAATATTGAAAAGTAATAAAAATGAATATAATAACTATTCAGTTGATAAATTACTATGACGATGCAATGTATCTGAATTGCATGAAATACATGCATGTGAAAGTATTAAGTTATGAAAAGCTTTTTGTATACTAAATTCATTGTCTAGAGTTTTGACCGATTGTCATCATAATGGAGCACCATTAGAGTACCCGTGTTAGTGACCGGAATTTATCTTGAGTCGAACACAAAGATTATTTTGGATATATTTTTCATGGAAGTAGAGACACAATCCTCTCTTCAGGCAAAATAGTAGATGCCTATTTGACCTTTTTACAAAAGAAACAACAACAACAACATCTATCTACTCCGTATAACATAAGTGTTAAATAAGCTGAAGTGGGAAAGAACAACATTCATAGGATGCATATGATATATGATGGCACATCATTAGCAGTTTAATTTGTTAAACCTTGGAGCACTCAATAATATGAGTTTGGATAATCTTGAATTGACATTCAAAACTAAATAATGTGTATTCGATAATCTTGAGTTTCGATAAGTTCTTGTCTTCCACACCCACCAAACGCATAGTTACATACTAAATCAAGCATAGTATATTTCCTTTATTTCAATGGCAGAATATTTTAATATTTACTTTCCTTATATTTTCAAATGCAATGGGCGGGAAAATTGGAGCCAAAAATTATGCCAACACTCTTACTTTATATTATACGGAGTATAAATATATAAAGATATCTAGCTCATAATCCTCACACTTTGTAATTTTCACAATTTTGCCTTGTTTTCTCTAACTGGTTCACAGTGCAATAATGTCACCAAAGCATCAAAGAACAGCTAAAACACCTTTGTAACAATTATATTTCTACATTTAATATAAATTCATTTTTAAATATGCCCGTGCATTCACAATTTAAGTTAATTCTAAATAAAATGTTATTTCATTTCTTATTTGATTCTTATTGATAACTTATGTGGTTTAAAGTTTGTGTTTATCATTATTATAATTATATTTGATAAGTGTGTTTTTTTAAATAAAAAAATCGATGATGCACAAGATTAATTTCAGACTTGATTTGGCTCCCCAAATCATCCGTTTCATCTGTCAACTATCAAGAACTGATTTTAGTTCTAGGCAGAGAAGGAGATTTGGTCATATCATTGTTTCATTTGAAGACTATAAATCAGGTTGCTACTTGAAAATTGCCAAGGATAAAGGGAGTTTCATTCTTATTCCAACGGGACCACAAAAATCAAGCCTACTTGATTTCCTGGCCATCTTCTCTAATTTTCTGGGACTAACAAATTTAATGCAGGAAGAACCATTCATTTTGGAACATGATACCTCTTCACACAATGAGGAAGTTACATCTATCTCCAAACTTATATTTAATTTTGAGATTCAGAGAGCCTATATGGAGAAACAACCGTTTCAATCTTCAGAAATACATCCCAAGTTATCACTGACACAGGCTTACTCAGATGTCTCAGACAATTTTAATCCATCGGATGAGTCATACTTCTCATATGACTTCTTAGGGCATGCAACTGAAAGTGATCGAAGGCCACCAATTTCCAACCAGGACGACATTCGAGACTCCAACTTCAACAGAGAGATTTGCTTCAAAACACAGTTTATCACACAGGACACTTGCTTGCCAACGGAAAATCTCAATACGCAACTTAAAATCTACCGCAAATCCCAGAAGAATAAACGGAGACATAGCATGCGGACTAGATCACAAACTAAGGATTTTCCTTGGGCCTAGATTAGATTTCATTTCCCTTCAATTTCCTTTTCTCTTCGCTTTTTCATTTCTCCTACTTTCCTTCCTTTTTCGCATTGTACTCCTTTTTCTTCATTAATAAAATTTCCCTTTTGTTAAAAAAAAAAGTGTTTTAAGAATCAAATAAACGTGTTTTAGCTAGCTAGCTAGTTATTTGATAACAATCAAATGCATTCACACGTTTATTTGATTCTTATTTGATTCTAATTATTGGAATTGATTTATTCCCTTTAATCCATCTTGCTTGTTAGTTGGGCTAGTTATTCACTCACCACTCCACTCGAAATCCTTGGGCTTACGTGTTGGACCCGAGGGTTGAAGGAATAAACCTCAACACTATATAATATAGATATAGATTTTGTCACGCCCCGGACCTCCCCGGACACGTCAACAACCCGCCGTACAATACGAATAGTCAACCGCAGTCCAACACATTCATATTATACAAGGCGTCTCGAATATCATTCACACGTAAGCCATCCATAAACAAACATAATAAGTAATTCATAATGCAGAGGAAAACATTGTTTAAAACAAAAAGGCCACACCGGGCTATTCATGAGCACGCAGGCTCCATAGTAAAATATCCATGAGCATGTTTATTAATATTTAAAATCCGAATGGAGGAAGCACGAACCAAGTCTTCGCTCCTAGATGATCTCTCGAGCAACGAGCACAGGAAGCAAGCTCTAGCCTCAACCTGAAAAATGGTGGTGGGACGCCCCCGAAGGGGTCAGCACTCTATAGGGCTATAAAGTGCTGGTGTGGCAGGCATCTAATAGATATACAACAAGTATTTCAAACACAAGACCCTCAAGTAGGGTGATAGTACATTATGATTGTAACCCTAAGTTACCCCGTTTAAAAATATACTTACTTTATATAAAAGTCAAGTAGTCGGCCCGTGGGCCCGTTTTCATTTGGAAATCACCATTCCCAACCCCGTGACTATAAGCCACGACAACTCCTAGAGTCCAACCCTAGTACATGACATTGTATTCTAGAGCTCGGCTCTACCACATCACCATACAATTCATATACCTCGGGTCAATTTCCCTACCTTGCGTTCTAGAGCTCGGCTCTATCACATCACCACGCAAGTCCTAGAGCTCGGCTCTAGCTATACAATACATAGACTCCAAGTCTACACCTTACATGCATTCTAGAGCTCGGCTCTATCACATCACCATGCATTAAGGTCCAACTCTCAAGCAACCCTATGCCTAGAATTGACATATCATTAAACTACCATGGGTCATCCTTAAAGACTTCCCATAACTTAACCTTAGTTTCTTACTAAGTTATTAGATACACTTGAACTACATTCAAGTATCTTTCATACAATCCAATCCCTAGGATCAATTTAATCAACAAGTCCCAATAATCACTAACTAGTATTTCAATACTATTA